ACCGGCTAGCCTCGTCCCCGGAGAATCCCAATGATGGGTGACAAGGATGACCTATAGCCAACAATCGCTGAAAATACAAGTCAATTTCGTTCAAACTATAGACGAAAAGTCAGCTGTCTGGCCAACAAAGGGATCTCCCTTCCACTACACCAATCAGTGTACGCACGTCAATTGCAGGCTAGGCTGTGTTGGTGAGATCACTGTTCACCCTGGCCAGGAGGATGGCAGCTCACTCTGAGTGAGTCAACTGAGAGCCTTCCGGTTGGGACAGCAGATCTGGAAGGTTTGAAGCACCCCTGGTATTTCGACTAACATTTCCAACAGTAGTGGAAACCAGACCTTGCTTGGCCCAATCGGCACCGTCCGCGTCAAAGTGCAGACGTGCTCAAGTACCCCATAAATAGCGGGAAGGGAGGAAAGGCGTACACGTCAATGTGGGTCCACAAAGTGTCCCTGGCCAAGGCTCCTGGAGTCTGCAGGAGTGTTGAGTACGTCATGAGCTTGACGTTCCAACGTTCCAGAGTGTGGTGAATAGGTCTAACTTTGGACCGTCCCACCACAAAAACAGTCTAGAGGTTACTTATTGGGGTATCTGCCACTCCACGTTCTGGAGACGAAGCCTCCAGGAAAGGGCGTCCGCTTGACTGTTTCTCCCCCCCCCCCCCCTGGAAGGTGGTGTGTGGCTAGCTCCACATTGTATTCCAGGTACCAAAGGAAAATTTCCTCCGCTAGGACTGACAACCATGGGGATCTGGTTCCCCTCCTCGTAGCTATGGACCACCGCTGAGTTGTCTGTGCGAAGCAAGACTCTGTGGTCTCGAAGTAGTGATAAGCGCACTTCTTTCAGTTCGAGCCAGTTGATATGGCAGTCCTGAATCCAACACAGGGGCCATATTTTCCATTGGGCTTGTTTGTCCAATAGGTGCGCTCCCTAATATGTGAGAGAGGCATCTGTTTCCCTGCTTGAGGTTGGCAATTGCCGACCACCAGGGCAAGGCATCCCTTGCTTGGTACGAGAGTATTACTCACCTGTCCAGTTCCCGTAAGAGAGCCTGGTGCTATAACGGGTGGCTTTATAACACGACCTGGGGGAACTACCCTGCAAACCCCTGACATCATTCCGATGATCCGCATTAGTTCTCAGAAGGACACAGAGGGAGCACTGACTAGGCTTTGGCTAGGTCGTTTAGGCAACGGGCCTGCGGCGACTGTACCAAGCCCACCTCCATGTTGAACTCCCTGGCCAGGAACACCAACTGTTGTGTTGGCTGAGGGTGGGACTTGCTTGATGTATTAGGAAGCACATCTGTCTAGAAAATCTGGTGTTAGCCTTACTGTTGCCTTGCCTTGCTTGTTGGGTTGTGTAGCAACCAGCCATCTAGGTACACGTTGATGTGTACTGGGTGTATCGGTATGTGCGGGTAAGTATCGCTCACCTTCTAGCAAGGCTAACCAGTAAAAACACAGCACGGAGAATGATATGGTGCTCTGCGTTTCCAGGAAGCTCATACACACACAACAAAATGTACTTATTTAGTCTTCTTAAGTCCAGAACGGGGCACAGCTACCTGTAGTCTCAGTTGTAGTCTTTGAAATCCCCAATACTTGTGAGTAGAAGCTCGGACTTAATGCCGGGTTCTCTATCCTGTGTATAGCGCCCTTTGTAAGCAAACTATCTACCTCCTGTCAGAGTCAGAGTCCCCTGGTAGTGCCTCGAATGGGAGCTGGTGACAGGGGGGGTGGAGATTGCAGCGGGATATTGTAACCGTGTATCGCCACCAGGAGAGTCCATGGATCGGTTACGCGCTGACTCCACAAGTTAGGCGGTTCCACATTGGGCTGATCTCTCTGAGACCCCATGAGGCCTGTAGAAGTCGATAGGTTCCAACTCTGCCTCCCGCCGAACATATGCTCATCCCCTTTGTCGCAAGTGGAAGCATTAAACCTGCTTCCCCTGCAAGCTGGGTAGGCGACCCCCGAAGAAGAGGGGGCACCACCTGGTCCCTTCTTCCTGGGGGGTGCGTCGCCACTCTTCCCTCCCCCGGAAGAGCCGGGTTGCTTGCCTCCTGGCCACTTCTGGCCAGTGGGTGCCAACTTTAGTCATTACGTTTTCTCAGCTTGGGGTCCTTACCGCTTGCCCTTTGCAGAAGCCAAACTGGCTTGCGGGTCTCACCTGTACCAACTGGTCAGTGGGATCCTGAAGCACCGAGACTGCTTCTTCCATTCTCATGTGCGTATGCATACTGAGGCGGTGATGCGCCCTGTGAAAACAGACAAAAACACAGTCCGCTGTACAGAGGCAGCCCCTGCCACAAGAGCCAGATGACACTGCAAGATATCCTGCTTAGCCATGTGGTGTCCCACCAATGGCTGTGTCTGCTGGTCTAGGAGGCTAGTGCGTTCTGCCATTGAGACTTCAGAATGCTGGCAGCGCAAAACAATTTGTTCCAGTAGGCTGGCCACAACTCGAAGGTTGAGGATCGCCGCTCTGCTCTCAGTGCCTGAATTGTTTCTGACTAACCGGTCGAAATATTCCATGAATGCGGCCACTCCTTTTGCCCGTCCCACCGGACCAAAACCAAATTGTGGTACCGGGTCAGGGGAGGAACCAATGGATACAATTGGGGCGCGAGATTTGACTTCAGACTAAAGGTTGAGCATAAAATTGACCTACCCTAAGGCCTCTATCTCACAGGGGTCCAAGGTCCGCCCATCAACACTGTGGCGCACGGCGAGGAACAGACTCCGAGGGGCCGCCCGAGGTTGCACATTTAAATGATACTATTTTGACGGACATATTGGATTTATGCAAATGTGATTGTTATTCAATCAAATGTTTCACAATCACAAACACCAAACCATATCGCAGCAACTTGAATATCTAAAAAAATTTATCTAAAATTAAAGATATGTCTTAATAGTTATATTTTTTTCCATGTTATAGAAATGCACCAAACGGCCATTTTGAATATACATTAGGTATATTTCGGAAGCCTAGATTTTCCTAGACTTTTAGTATGTCAATCTAGGCACCTCCCCGGAATGTATTGTGAAGAAATTATTTCTGTTGCAATTTGTGATGGGTCAAACCATAAATTGACTGGACTACATTGTCAATTTTTGTTTTTATATTTTTTTATTTTCACAGTATCCAGACATTATAAACCCTATATTTGATGCTATCGATGGTATTTCTATCCGATGTGAGAATTTATTTAAAGACATGAAAGAGAAAGATTGTGATCATATATATAGAGAAATTGAAGTGAGTGGTTATCATCATTTTTTACACATTAAATTTTCAGGCTGAAATGACATTTTTGTTGCTTTGTTGATATTCTTGGACTACTGTATTTACTTTTTAGATGCTCTTCTAAAAGAGCAAATACGATATTGTGGTATAATGTTGCCCTTAATTGTACCACTGCACAACCCAATCTTTACAAAACTACAACAGTTACCAGTGACATCACTGGACTGTACTACATTGGACTGTTTTTTCAGCACACTACCAACCATGACTACTCACACCGAATTACTAGATTTGCAGCATGCCTTACCAAGAAATGTTTAATTAGCCTACATTACAAAGAACAGTTAGGCAGGAGAAAATCCCAGAGAATTGAGGCAAACTACAGATTGTGTAAAAAATGCAACATAGGTACTGTAGAAGATGAAAAACATTTCATCCTTGACTGTTGCTTCTTCACTCAAGAAAGAAATTTCCTCTTATAAGACTGTAAATTAAGAATGTGTAGTACAACTAACTGAAATATAATAATAATAACTTTATTAATAACTTTATTACTCTACTAAAAACCTTCAGAGGGTTTTTGTATGGTAGGAAACATAAATACAAAAAACGTACAATACAAAAGAGATAAAAATAAAATGTTAGTAAAATATAAGAAAAAATAAATTAATTACTTTCTGTGGTTTTAAAAATTGTGCTCTTCAAATATTTTGCTAAGGCTATGTTATTCTCTATAATCTTTTTAAATATGGAATTCACATCCATTGTGTAAATATTTATTACACACTCATCAAACAGTTTTTTTCTTTGTTCTATATAGCAAGTACAAAATATCAGGAAATGTTTTTCATCTCCCTAATGCTTCAGTGTTACATTTTTTACAATGTGTATTTTCTAATACTATTTTGGGCTTTGTTCTTCTACCTAATTCTATTTCTAAGTTGTGGTCACTCAGACAGAATTTTGAAAGCATTTTCCTGAGGCTGAAATTTGAGATGTTTTGCAAATAATTTTCCATATTATAACTTACTTTGAATAATTTGTATGTTCTCTAATATTTACTTGCATTATAAATAGTAGTACTGCACTTGCAAAATACTTAAAAAACAATTTATAAAACCTAATTGTGAATCCATATTTTATATATACCCTTTAGTTATGTTTGTATATTTTGAAACTTTTCTTGTTTTTGTTTATTTGTGTTTGTTTTTTCTAATCTGTATCCTTACCATACAACACCCACCAATGTTGCAGTTGTGTAATAAAGTTAAAGTTATGTGTCTGTGCGTGCCACATTATAACTTAGAAACACAAAGATTAGAACAACATTTCTTGAACAAATTATTCAGTGTAATGTGCATTTAGTATTTTTAGGTAATTTTGGTTTGATGTAGACTCAAAATGATGTATTTGTCTGTTCTTGGCCTCTGGCCATTAGAAAATGAAATTCATCCTCAATATGACCTTGGTTGCACATGTTAGAACTTATATCTTTTAAAGAGATTTTTTTGTGTTCTACTTCAATGTTGAGGCAATAGTCTTTAAAAGTGAATTATGGAGCTCATAATTTTTTTAGCATAACTACCGGTAGGTAGCTCTCTAATTTGGGATTGCATTTAAACTTCCTAAATGGATTTTTTTTTATTTCTTGTTGCTACTTGTGGACACACAGTGACCAATCTACAATGTAGCTGTACTCAAGGAAACAAAGACATGAAAAAAAATGCTTTTGCCTCAACACGTCAGAATTGCAAAAATCAGAAAATCAACATTCTGAAATACATTATTTGTATAAAGGGTTATTGTTAATAATGAAAACAGAGATGTTGTAGTAGAGCGTGTGGCAGCATGTAACTGCAGCTACAGTGATATGATATATGCAAGTGACTGCGACTACCGTACATAGTGAAAACAGTAACTACAAGAATGCTACATGTAGCTTGCATATATGTCTTGGTCTTAGAGTATTTGTACCCGGTATAAATCATGGTTCTAGAAAAATTTTTTAGAAAAATCTGTGTAATCCATGTATAATTTCAGATCTCCTAATAATCCTTATCAATCAGAATTAACCATCACTATATATCATTGAATAATGTTTTCAGATATAATGAGATCATTTTCTCATGAAAACCAAAAGGTTCATACATTGTTGTTTTTAGCCATTTTTCACACAAAAATAGTTCCATGACCCTATGTTTTGATGTAAGTTTTATGAATATTAACATAAAATAAAACTATACCCCGGTAGTATGAAAATCACAGAAATTTGAATATCAGTTTTAATAACTATGAATAAGTCTAATACCACGCGCCGGCCGGTACATGTAGTTAGCTGTTTAGTGGCTATAGATCTCATGGAAGACCAACCCTGATAACTTAATGATTATAGATCCAATACCCCCCCCATAGTGTAACTTGTAACTTATGGAAAGTAGCTGCGAGGATTTTATATGGGTACATTTTGATAAGAATTTCTTCAAGCTATACCGTGATATCTTCCTTTGTACCCTATATTTAAGTCTAGAGTCATCAAGCATATTTAGCTGGAAAGAGTCAAATCTCTTCCAGCTCTTAGAAAAAGATATTGCAAAATACTCTAAATGTGGCTCAATTATCCTGACGCCCATAATAAAAATGATCAGGATACTGTCACATTTGATGATTCAGGCTTTTGCGTATCACAAGCAAATGTGACATGTAAAAAAAGAAATTCATAAGACATGACAATCAAACATAATTATGGTAATTTATTTGTAGACCTGTGTATTGCATCAGACCTAATCATTCTCAATGGAAGGTGCATTGGTGACACAGTTGGTAAATTTATCTGTCACCAGAGTAGAGGAAGTAGCACTGTTGATTACACTATTGTAAGCCACTCCCTATACTACAAGGTTAAACTACTGTGGAATACTTTATTTTCGCTGGAATTAATTTTCGCTGAAAAGGCATTTTGGGCGTTTTGCTTGGAATTTATTTTCACTGATTTTTCATGAGTTTAATGTGAAATATAGGAAAAAAAGTATATTCGCTGGATTTTATTTTCACGGAATCATCCCTTCAGCGAAAATAGCAAAAAAAATAAATTACAAGCGAAAATAAAGTATTCTACAGTATTTCATAAACATCAGTTAGATTTAAAACCTCTTTTAGGCTAGAAACAAACGCATTATCTGGTCATTTAAATAGAGATTCATCTGAAATAACTAACAATTTACATGTATATAAACCAGCTGTTACTTACATTTGGAATAAGGATTCACATTATGAATTCTACAGTACTTTACAAAGTAAAGAAGTATTTACATTAATAGATACATTGAACAAAGAAAATTTTGATATTTCAAAACAATCAATTGAAGCTGCTTGTGCAATGTTATCAAACATCTATCATGAGGCAGCTGGTAAATGCTTAAAAAAAAGAATTATGAAAACAAACAAAAACTTGAAGGCAAATATTAAAAAACCTCGAAAACAAAAATGGTATACTAAAGAATTAAATAACTTCAAAAATGATGTTCACAAACTATCAATAAAACTAAGTAAAGACCCCTATAATAAACAGTTAAGGATACATTGTTATAATTCAAAAAAAACAATATAAGAAATTGGTTAAAAAGAAACAAAGAGAATACAAAAATGAAATACTAAATAAACTTGAGAGTTTTAGTGAAACAAACCCAAATAAATACTGGGACCTCATAAAAGAGCTTAAAAATAACAACAAAGATGAGACTCATGAAAATATTGACAGCAGTAAATTATATAAACATTTCAAAGAAAGACTAGTAATGAAGCCAAAGAGACAGTTATCAATGAAAAGATAAAACACTTAGAACAGAACACATCCCGTACAACGAAACTTGATGCACCAATTTGCCAACCTGAAATACAGAAAGCAATTAGCAATCTCAAGAATGGCAAATCACCGTGTACAGACAGTATCACAAATGAAATGATTAAAGTCAGTAGAAACATTGTTATAGAACAAATTCAAACTATTTTCAACTTAATTCTTACAAGTGGTCATTTCCCTAACAGTTGGCAAAGTGGAATAATTAGTCCAATCTTTAAAAAAGGTGATAGATCGGACCCAGGTAATTATCGTGGCATAACATTATTAAATACACTTAGTAAACTTTTCACATCAGCTTTAAGAAATAGATTATTTTAACACATTGAAAAAAACAGACTTCTAATCAAAGAACAAATAGGATTCATCCCACAGTTTAGTACAAGCGATCATATATTTGTATTAAAACAAATCATTACAAAACACGCAAGTCAAAATAAACATGTTACGCCTGCTTCATAGATTCCAAAAAAGGCATTTGATTCAATTTGGCATCAAGGTCTTTTGTACAAACTCTTAAAAAATGATATTTCAGGATAATTTCACAAAGTCATCCAATCAATCTACACTAGCTCATCAAGCTGTATAAAATTAAAAAAATGGCTTAACTGACATTAAAGAACATTTAGAAAATATAAACACAGATTCTCCTTCTTTACTAAATAGTAATCTTTCCTGCCTGCTTTATGCAGACGATCTACTTCTGTTATCTAAATCAAACACAGATTTTCAAAATGCTTTAAACTCTTTAAATATATATTGTGAAAAATGGCAACTGGACATCAACATATCAAAAACCAAAGTTATTATATTCAATAAAACAAGAAAAAAACTCACCAAGCATGAATTTCATATTAATAATGTTGAACCTGAAACAGTTTCTAATTATTCCTACCTGGGAGTCAAATTAAGTAGTTCAGGCAAGCTCCATAAAGCACAAGATGATATAACAAATAGGGCTTTGAAAGTTTTAAAGTAAAACAACTATTACACAGTGACATAAATATCCCCATTAAAACATATCTAAAATGTTTGACTCTATTATAAAACCAGTTTTACTGTATTGCACTGAGATCTGGTCCAGTGACAATATTAAATCAAAACAAAATATTTTCAACAACAACAAGTCATTGAAAATGACACAGTCCCCGTAAAATTTTTGAAAGTTCTCTTTGTGCTTGTCATATTAAAGCGAAGGGGTTGTAGCGAGCGTGACCTTGAAACTTTAGTTCCAAGTGGCGTAAACAACAAGATTGTTTATTTACATCAAAACACGTGTTCCGTGTAGTAAGTAATATGGCCAAAAATAAAAACAGCCGTTATTTGGCCATCTT